AAGAGAAGGTGGGCAGTGGGGGCCCAGTCAAGCATTAGGAGGGGCTCAGTCCAGGCAGTCGGTGTGGGCCGAGACTGGGGTGATAGATCAGAGAAGAAAGTTGTTCCCTTCCCCTCTCTGAGAGCACACAATGGACGAGGGAGCCTGCTGCCTGAAGGAAGTGTGCCATATGAATGAGTGTAGATGCACTGAACTGGGTTGTATAATTGGAGTGCCATCAAGAGGATCTATAGGGAAACAGTATGGTTGTCTGCTTGTGAAGAACACTATGTTAGGAAAAAGTGAGCTATATAGCAATATATAAAGGAATACACATATAGTATACTACATATCTCTGTGTATATGTATTACCAGTGTAGACATCATATATTTTTAACACTGGTAAGTGCTCTAGTAGAGGAGATGGACTGGAAGCCCAGAGTCAAGCAAGGACAAGGGAAAGTTACCTTTCTAATTAAATCCAAAGGAATTTGGCTTGGGAGGGGGTGGTTTTCCAGATTACAAATGATCAAACGAACGAAAGTGCCAAGAAGATGATTTGGGCATCCATCATGGACTTTGGATTCTGATCCCAGACTGCTTTTCCCAACTCACGCTCCCTTTAATCTCTTCTCCATTCACCAGTGCTTCTGGTCACTCTTGACTCTTATCCTCTTTACATGGGTTTACTTTATTCTTTTCTTCACTCTAGTTTTCATCAATTATTTTTCTGTATTACCTCTATTTTTTTCCTCTTGGTATTTTTTTTTGGGGGGGGGGCAGATTCCAAGATCTCATTTAAGTATCAGCAGTATTTACTCATTTAACCCATTTAGTCTCTGTAGCTTAATGTTGTGATACTCATGAAACCTCCTCATTTTCTTTTCTTTTTTCTTCCAGGATGGAAGAACAATCATAAAACCACAAAGTCAACTCAAACACAAGACAATTCATTTCAGGGACTGATGGTGAATAGATCTAAAAGGAATGGGTCCTGCGACTTGAAATCAGAAAAAACTTGCATGTATGAAGGCAAATTAGAGAAAAAGGACAAAAAGGAAAATATTGAGATAGTTTTAGTAACTCACAGAAAAATTCTCACTGTAGAAAGAAGTCATAAAAATGGGGAATTTAGCCAAAACTTGTGTCCAAAGTCAGACCTTGGCAGGCAAAAAGTAGTTCCCAGAGATAAAACCTCATCAAAATGTGAAATACAAGGAAAAAACTTCAAACGGATTTCAGACTTATGTAATCAACCAAAAATCACAGCAGAGAAACGCTATAAATGTAGTATGTGTGAGAAAACCTTTATTAACACCTCATCCCTTCGCAAGCATGAAAAAAACCATAGTGGTGAGAAATTATTCAAATGTAAAGAATGTTCAAAAGCCTTTAGCCAAAGTTCTGCTCTTATTCAACATCAAATAACTCATACTGGAGAGAAACCTTACATATGTAAAGAATGTGGGAAAGCCTTCACTCTCAGCACTTCCCTTTATAAACATCTAAGAACCCATACTGTGGAGAAATCCTACCGATGTAAAGAATGCGGTAAATCCTTCAGTCGACGGTCAGGCCTTTTTATACATCAAAAAATCCATGCTGGAGAAAACCCGTATAAATACAATCCAGGCAGGAAGGCTTCTAGTTGCAACACATCCCTTCCAGGAGGTCAAAGAATTCATTCCAGAAAGAAGACATATTTATGTAATGAATGTGGCAACGCCTTTAAGTCTAGCTCATCCCTGCGTTACCATCAGAGAATTCACACTGGAGAGAAGCCTTTTAAGTGTAGTGAATGTGGCAGAGCCTTCAGTCAGAGTGCATCTCTTATTCAGCATGAAAGGATTCACACTGGAGAAAAGCCCTACAGATGTAATGAATGTGGAAAAGGCTTCACTTCTATTTCACGGCTTAATAGACACCGAATAATTCATACCGGAGAGAAGTTTTACAACTGTAATGAATGTGGCAAAGCCTTAAGTTCCCACTCCACACTTATTATTCACGAGAGAATTCATACTGGAGAGAAACCATGCAAATGTAAAGTGTGTGGGAAAGCCTTCAGACAGAGTTCGGCCCTCATTCAGCATCAGAGGATGCATACTGGAGAAAGACCCTATAAATGTAACGAGTGTGGGAAAACGTTCCGATGTAACTCGTCCCTTAGTAATCATCAGAGAATTCATACTGGAGAAAAACCTTATCGATGTGAGGAATGTGGGATCTCTTTTGGCCAAAGTTCAGCTCTTATTCAGCATCGAAGGATCCACACGGGAGAGAAACCCTTTAAATGTAATACGTGTGGGAAAACTTTCAGACAGAGTTCATCACGCATTGCACATCAGAGAATTCATACTGGAGAGAAACCCTATGAATGTAACACGTGTGGGAAACTCTTCAATCACAGATCATCCCTTACTAATCACTATAAAATCCATGTTGAAGAGGACTAGAAAATAGATTTGCATGTGTGAAAATCGTAAACCAAAGCTCATGAGAGATACACGTTAAGTGTAATGGATATGAAATTCTGTTATTATTTAGTCCTCATCACATGTTAAATTTCACAGATAAACCTTGACTGCATAATAGATTAGAGGAAAGTGTCCATGCCTTTCAGACTCTGAAAAATAACCTGGGATGAAGAAGTCACATCCAGAGGCTTTGACCATGGGCATCTGTAAAGTGAAAGACGTCTGCTTTCCATTCTGCAGCGGTGCGTGCTAAACACATGTGGTCATAAACATTGGAGTGGGTGGGGAGTATGTTCTGGATTTCTTTTCTGAAAACATCAAACTATACACTGGTAATATTTTTTATAACTGACAGTAGCATATGAGAGAATTGATCAAATAAATTATACATTTTTTAGAGAAAAGGACCAAAATAAAAGCTAAACATGAACAGTAAACTACCTCTCAGGCTCTGAGGTTTGTCCTTTTCCTGACCTAATGGTAAACTTTGTGCATGAATTTCATTAAAAACACAAAAAGTAATAATCTGGTCTCCTCCTTTCTAGTAATTTCCAAAGAATGTTTTCATTTTTATTGCTCTGAAGTCATTATGACAGTGTACCTGCTCTGTGCTGTGACCTGTTATCTTGGGCATTTTAAATGAGAAAATAGATAAAGTTCAGAGCTGCTAAATAAACTAAATTCACAACCTAAGGACCTATGAGGAAGTTGAACAAATCTTAACACCTGTGGCAAAACTTTGAATAGGACATCACTGTGGTCAAAATGTCTGCCCCCCACAATTCATAGGTACTTACTCCCAAGATGACGATTTAGGAAGTGGGGCCTTCAGAGGTGATTGGGACATGAGGGTGGAGCCATGTGAACAGGGTTAGTGTCCTTCAGGGCCCTAAGGATGTCGTTCTGTCCTGCTGCCATGTGAGGACAAAGTGAGAAAATAAATGCCTTTTCTGAATCAACACACTTGCCAGGTACCAACTGCTGGAACCTTGATCTCGAGCTTCCCAACATCCAGAACTGTGAGAAATAAATGCCTGCTGTCTAAGTTACCCAGTCTGAGGTGTTTTGTGTAGCAGCCTGAACAGACTAACATCAGCTATTTCTTAAACTCAATACTTTTTTACACCCAGATTTGGGGCAGGTGCTATATAGTACACTGCAAGTTTTAAGACCCAACCAAGACTTCCTTCAAGTAGCCACAGGTTAGGGAAAAGGGGATGGAGTTGAGGGACTAACAGATGAATAAGTAGATCATTATGTCACCGTATGTAAATGCTTTCATAGACAAATAATTAGGTTACAATGTGTTGCAGTGGTATGGATTTGTACTCAATCAAGAAAGAGACCTAACCAAGGGAGCTTGGAGACAGCAAAGCTAGAAGCAGTGGTGCCTGCACCAAGCTTTGGAAGAATAGAGCTCTTCTGAGTGTGAGATAAGCATTCCAGATAAGAAAACACTTGGATTTGCAAAAGTGTGAGTAATATGGCATATAAAAAGTCTTAAGCATAGAATTTGTGAGCAGAAGAATGACATGTTAAGTTCAAATAGAAGGCAGAGACCAGATAAGAAAAAGCCTTATGTGCCATGCTAAGGGACTTGGATTTTATCCTAAAATTAATGTAGCCAAAGAGGTTAAGTAAGGGAAATTGTTCTGGCAACAAGATGTAAAGGATTGGGGGCCAGCAGGTGGCATGGTTGTGCTGGAATTCCCACATGGCCAACCACAGTTTGAGACCCAGACCTGGTGGCTTACTTCCTCAGTCTCTCTCTCTCTGTATTTCTCTGGCAAAATTCATTTAAAATAATAATAAATAATCTCTAAAAGATTGAGGAAATCCTTTTAAGGGCTAATGAAATTCAAATGATAGATGATCAAGGGTTAGACTCCTGCAGGGACAACTTGGGTGGAGAGGAGTCAGATGATCATGTGTTAGAATAAGTAAGATGGGTTTCCACAGGTGAATGGGTGAAGGTACTAAGAGGAGAGAGCTAAAATGACTCAGGGCTACAGACATGCCTTGTATTATTTTGTCTGCATCCTGGATTAATTGTCATGACACCATAAGTGTAGTCAGGGTTGGATGGTTGGCATCCATTAATGAAAAATCAGCAGTTGTAACTTTTTCTGCTCAGGAATCAGCACTTAAATACTTGCAACACAGCTGAAAATCATACATCCACAGATAAAGATCTGAACAGTCCCTTACAGTGTTAGTATCCTGTACAAGGGGACTTCAGAAGATTTGTGAGAAAAACAAAGTATGAGTTTATTTGGGTGCAAAGAAAAAGTTCAAAACATGCATTGTTTTTCCCATAAACCCCTTTCCCACAAATCCCCTCATACCTTTAAGATGAGAAAGACAGGCTAACGATGGAAGTAGTGGGGCCAGCAGGTGGTGTAGTGGTAAAGGCACTAGAATCCCACATGACTGACTGTGGTTTGAGTACCACACCAGGCATCTTGAAATGCTGGGTACATGTGTGTGCATGGCCAAAATCTCGGGAGGAGAGTAAAGGAGAAGGGATTGTAGCATGGCCATCCCAATGCTGAGTGGTAATTTCTCACCTTCTCTATCTCTGGTGAACTCAAGTGCCCTGTAGCAAAAAAATCTCTTAAAAAAATAAAAAAGAAAAAGAATGGAAATACTTAAAGAAAGGAAAAGACTCTTCTTTTGTCCAGAGTCCCAAGTTACAAACACCCTATGTGCTCTAAAAGTCGCTCAGCACCAACCTCATGGTAGCAGCTATGCTTCTGAGAGCACAGTGGTGACAGCTTCAGCTAATTAGGGACAGCTCCTGGCTTCTAGGCAGTGGTCAGCAAGTTCCTCACTGTAGTGACCACGCTCTGAAAGCATGCCAGCAGATTGCAGCCTGCCCCAACGACCACACTGACACAGTTGAGAGTCAATCTGTAAACGCTCCTGCTTCTGAAAAGTCGCCAAAACCTTGGGTAAGATCAGCTCAGGCTCTCTTTGGAACACTGTTCTTTCCCAATACAGCTCTCTGCAGACACAAATGAAGCTCACCTTTGCCATGTCACATCAAGTTCAACTTACCATTAATTTGCAACCATTTTAACCGTTCAATCCCATTTTACTATTTGTTATACTTTAGCCTCATGAGTAAGATGATCAAATTCAGTATTTGAAATTCTTGCAATTTTTTTTGGTAAATAATTAACATGAGAAAAATTCATGTACATTTGAATTTCAAATACAAGTGTAAATTTCATTATTAACTTGCAAAACATTTAGGTGTCTGTTAAATGAGGAAAAGTTTCTTTAGAAGTCATTTATGCAGTGTGCAATTGTTCGTTCAGTTTCAGAAACAACAAAAGATATAAAGCAGCACACACTAACAGCGGATCCAAGAGGTAGAGTATATCATCCCTCCATTAGTGCCAAAGAAAGCAGTAAAGTAACACATTTCCTGATCTAAATAAATTCGGATTTTAAAAATACAGCAAAAATTGTAACAACCTACATTTCATGTATACTCATCAGTCTTTTCAGTTCAATGACGTATCAGAAGTATTTTCTGATTCTTTTTCTTTTCTTATTTTCTTTTAGGTTTTTGCCGTAGGGAGCATGTGGGAGGGGAGAGAGAGAAAGAGAGTGAGAGAGAAAGTGAGAAATGACCACCAAGGAGGATGGCTACCCCGAAGTCCTTTTTCCTCCCAGGATTTCGGGCATGCACTTGCACTTCTGGCATGATTTCCACGCCACCAGGTCTGGGACTCCATCACCTTAATCACCATGCTTCCTGCTGGCCCCGGCTATTTTAAATTCTAAAATGGCAAACATATTTCCAAATGCCAGGGTAAAATCTTTGCTTACATAAATATAGTAGCTCCACTTACTACCACAGAGATTGTTTAAGATTTGAAATACCTCATCTTTTTTTTTTTTCAATATACTGCAGATGCAAATAATCACAATAAGAAAATATTTCCTTTTGCTTATACAATGTTTTCCTCCTCAAAATTTTTGAAAGACTGTTTTACCTCTTCCTCATGAGATCTCAGAAACAATATATAAAATTTTTACAGAAGCAAAAATCGATAAGGGAGCTTGTAACGCTTGGTGGAGATAATATACAGGGTCATTGGGAAAGTCAAGATGCATTTCTGCATTAAAAACAAACAACAAGGGAACCAGCAGTTAGCGTAACGGCTATGTCGCTGGACTCCCACGTGGTCGACCGCGGTTCGTGTCTCGGACCCGGTGGCTTAAAACTCACGCCGGGCGCATGTGCGTGCGTGCCCAAGATCCCGAGAGGAGAATGGAGGAGAAGGGATTGCGGTGTGGCCATCCCCCCTGGGGGGTGATTTCTCGCTTTCTGTCTCTATGTCTCTCTCTGTCTGTCTGGCGAGAGCACGCACCCTACAGTGAAAATCTCTCCAAAAAAAAAAAAAACAACAAAATAAAACAGGAAAATTTGTCATGACTTTCCTGACAACCTAATAAATACAAATTTAGGTGCCTAAAAGTGTGAACAATTATTACTCAAAGTTAAAGCAAAATTGGGCCAGCATGGTAGTTAAAGAGGCTGGATCCCACAAAGCCAATGGCACGATTTGAGTCCTGGACTGGGCAAATGGAAAAATACACTGGGTAGGACCAGCAGTTAGCGTAATGGCTATGGCACTGGACTCCCACGGAGTTGACTGCGGTTCGCGTCCCGGACCCGGTGGCTTAAACTCTCTCCGGGCGCTTGTGCGTGCATGCGTGCCCAAGATCCCGAGAGGAGAATGGAGGAGAAGGGATTGCGGTGTGGCCATCCCCCCTGGGGGGTGATTTCTCGCTTTCTATCTCTCTGTCTCTCTCTGTCTGTCTGGCGAGTGCATGCGCCCTATAGCAAAAACCTCTCAAAAAAAAAAAATACAGTGGATGCATGTGCATGTGTACCCAAGATCCCAAGAGGGAAATAGAAAAAGATTGCAGCATGTCCATCCCTCCAGAAGGTGCTCTCTCTCTCCCTCTGTATGTGTGGTGAGTGCACACACCCTATAACAAATTCATAAAAAATTAAAAGCAAAGCGCAGAGGACTCTATGGACGGTGTTGGCTGTCCTGCCCATAGTCTGCATTTCTGCATAATGCTGCACAGACACACCCAGTGCCCTTTCTACTGGTTTTCCCAGAGGCTTGAAGCCGAACCCATCATTGTCACTGACTACCACGGGACAACGTTTACATTCAGAGTTGACAGGCTTGAGTCCAGTCTTCGGCATTTTCGAGATGGGGTAGCACGGCAGTGGAAGCTTCTTTGTGGCCTCTTTGATCTTAACAACACAAATACATGGCAGAGTCTACGTGTCCTGTACGTCACTTTCTGCACACGGCAAAGGAGATATTTGTCAAAAGAACACCAGGCTTCCCCTTTGCTCAGATCCTTTTTTGCAAATTCCCCCCTTGAATAACTTTAATTGTCATTTACACAGACATACACACATCACCTTTTTTTCACATCTCTAACAATGACTAAAAAGGGCAAAATGATACTTGCAGTCTCTTGTGCAATATTGTCTTCCCAGGGAGGTGAAGAGCTCCTGGAACGTACTCAGCTGGCCATAGGAGGGCCCCCATTCACTAGCACCGGAGGAGAGGCATCTTCCAGCAGACTGGGGCCTCCAGCTTGAGTGAGACACGGATCAGCAGCTGGGGCTCTTGCAGTGAGTACTTGAGTACAGAGCGCTAGGAAATCCAGTTCTCAGTCCACTGGAGAGACGAGGCTTTAGCCATATACCCATGACTACGGTCCTTCTCCAAACCCATCATAATACAGTAAGATTAGACAACTTGCATCGCTTTTTCTGGGGTGATTCTGGTGGGTGCGTGCTGGACTGTCGAGTGGGGCCCCCTGAAGAGGGCCTGCTGGGGTCAAGCAGTACTGCAGGCCTGTCAGTCAGACCAAAGTGTGGGAATTGTTCATGCTTCCCGACCATGTTCTTCAACACTTTTCACTTCTGTGCCTACCTGGACAGGAAGCACAGCACCTGTGAACAATCACCGGGGGCTTCAACATACTCTCCGTGGAGAATGTGCAGCATGCCCCCACAACTGACTGTCCACAGGGGAAAAGTCCACCACGATTTTCATGGACCCCTAGGAAGAGGCCAATTCCCAGATTGCTCCCATAAGTTTCCATCAGCTTCTGAGAATACAGGGTAGGGTGATTTGCTGCCTCTTAAATCAGGACTTTTCAAATCTGAATGTCCATTAGAATCCCCTGGATGCATACCAATAGGGAGCTTAGACTAACCCAGTCTAACGAACAAGAAATCTGATGCATTTATGTTGGCATGAAAACCAGTGAGAAATCTGTGATGATCTTGCTCTATGAGGGAGGACGACTTCTGGGGCTAGGACAGTTGTGTTGAACTGTCTCGCGATGGTGTTCTTCTAATGCCCAGGGCTCCATGCAGGCCAGTCAGGCTTCATCGTGGAGTGAAGATTCCAGAACCTGAGGAACTGTCAGAAGACACAGCTCAATTTGAGTGTGGCCCGTCACAAAGACTGGACCACATGTGCATCTTAATCCTAGCAGCACGCATGGAATGAGCGCCTTTTCCCTCCAGGCCTGGGATTAGGCCTGTAGGTTTCCATCAGCTTCTGAGAGTACAGGACAGAGTGGGCTTAGCCACCTTCTAAAGCAGGGCTTCTCAAACTTGCCTTCCCATTAGAACCCGACAACACCAGGGGTCAGACCCATTCAGCTGGGCTCTGGGGGGAGGATATGTGATCTGTTTGCAGAAAGTCAGGGACGAGCACTGAGAAAACTCAGAAACAGACGTGGAGTGAAGGTGGAAGAAGCTGAGTCTTCCTGTATAGGAGAGCCACTGGATTGTCGTTCATGTGAGCTTTAATAATTCTTTTTTTCCTTAAAGATTTAACTTAATTTTATTATTATTACTTTAAAATTTGCTACAGGGCACACACACTTATCAGAGAGTCAGAGAGAGAAAGCTAGAGAGAGAGAGAAGGGAAGTGAAAAAGCAAGCTGCCAGAGAGAGAGAGGGAAAGTGAGAAAGCAAGCCACCAGGCCTGGGACTTGAACTGCAGTCGGCCATGTGGAAGGCCAGCACCCAACCACCATGCTATCTGCTGGCCCCAAGCTTTCACAGTTCTTAGTGTATTTAATATGTATGCCCGATGCTCTTCTACCTGCCCAGTATTTATTATATCACTCAGTCCTCATTTTACAAAGAAGGTGACTGAGTCCCAACATGGCTACAATGAGCAGAACCCAGAGGGGGTCATTTTCTGCTCTGGGAGTGGTAACTTGTCTTTAAGCAGGGTTTCTCACTGCCTCCAGTGCTCCACTTTACAGTCTTTTTTACAATCCAAGTTTTTTTTGTTTTTTGTTTTTAAGTTTATTTATTTCTTCCATGAGTGAGAGGAAGACAGACAGTACTCCCATGGGGGTCTCGATGCCACGAGCCACCCTGGCCTCACTCAGCCTCAGATCATGGGCATGTGCCTGGCATACTCAGAGAGGTCTCTGGACACAAACCGGGCCTCCCCGAGGAGTGCCTGCAGAGCCCCAGAGTCCCGACTGCACTGGCAGGGTGTGGGGCTCTGCGTTCCACCTTCAGAGGGGAAGCGGGCGTGTTTAAATCTGCCCCGCGTCGCCATGTACCCGTGATTTCCTCTACTTTGCCGAGCAAGAGGAGCAGTATGTTCACAAAAGCCTGTTCAAGGCCCTTGGTCATGTATCTGCTAATTCCGTCTTCAGTGTCTGTCCTGTGCTCACCAGAGAGGGAGGGAGGGAGAGGGAGAAAGCACCCCCAGTGAGGCATGGTCATGCCGCAATCCCTTCTCTTTATTCCCCTCCCTTTGAGATTTCGGGTGCACAATGCACATGCATCCAACATGTTTTTCTTTTCTTTTTAAGAGATTTTTGTTACAGGGCTTGTGCACTCACAGAGAGAAAAAGATACAGAAAGCAAGAAATCACCCCTGGGGGACGGCCATGCCACAATCCCTTCTCCATTCTCCTCTCAGGATTTTGGCCATGTACGCACATGTGCCTGGAGTAAGTTTTAAGCCACCAGGTCCAGGACTCAAACCGCTATCGACTACATGGGAGTCCAGCAATGTAACCATTACACCATCTGCTGGGCCTCCTGGTCCAGAACTTTATTTTTTAAAAATTATTGTATTTAACTTTATGTATTACTATTATTATTATTATTTTCTAATTTGACCAGAAAGAGACAGAGAGAGGGGAAGCTACCAGGTCTGGGACTCGAACCACAGTTGGCCATGTGGGAGTCAATTTCCAACCACCATGCCACCTGCTGGCCCCATCCTGGTCCAGAACATGAACCACACAGTAGGCTGTGTAGGATCCAGCTCCTTTTATCAGCAGTCATGTACGGGCCCTATCCTTTTTCGAGCATGGGGAGAGGTGAGGGATCTGACTTCTACTGAGCTTACTCTCCAGAGTGGATATAATGTCCGTACAAAACCAAATGTTTTCTACGACGGCTTCTGCATCACAAAATCCAAGCAGTTGTTTTTTTGTTTTGTTTTTTTGTTTTTTGTTTTGTTTTGTTTTTATAATCAGTCAACTCAATCAAAACTAACTACTTAAAAACCAATAGATTCTGGGGCCAGCAGATGGATAGCAGTTACATTGCTAGACTCCCACCTGGTCAACTACGGTTCCATTCCCAGACTTGATGGCTTAAAAACTCACAATGGGCACGTGTGCATCTACGCCCAAGGTCCCAGGAGAAGAGAGGAAGCAGGACTGCAGCATGGATACCCCCACTCAGGGGCATCTCTCGCTTTCTGTCTCTCTGTCTCTGTCTCTCCAGTTAGCACACACACCCTATAGCAAAAATATCTCAAGGAATAAAACAATAGCTTCTTTGAAGCAAAAGTAGTAAATATGATTAAGATTCAAATGCAGGGGCCAGGCAGGTGGCATGGTGGTTCAGGTGCTGGACCCGCACCACCAACTGTGTGGTTTGAGGTGTGGACCCAGTAGCTTGGAAAACACACTGGGTACGTGTGTGTGCAAACCAAAAACCCCAAGAGGAGAATGGAGGAGAAAGGATTTCTGTGTCCTCAGCCCCGGGAGGTACTTCTCACTTTCTCTCTCCCTGTTTCCAGTGAGTGCCCCATGCCCTCTAGCAAATTAAAATAATAATAATAGTAATAAAGACTCAAATGCAGAAATTTGGTTGTTGAGAAGCTAATTAAACATCCAACTTGCTCAAATAGAATTACAAGGGCAGAGCTGTTTCTCACAAAGACCCAGTCTTCGGGAAACACCAGCACGGACAATATGGCGTGGGCGTCAGATCCCTGAGAGAATGAGGAGCCCAGGCGCCCTTCAGACGGTCTTCTGTTGTCCTCTCTTCCCAGGGACTTGTGGGTACGTGGAATGACACCAGCAGCAGCAGCAGTCGTAGCCGTGCTGAGAGAATCCAGTTCTCCATCTCTGCAATAGCAAGTTGCAGCTGACCAGGGTGCGACACTAGCTGCAGACCTGGGTGGTGATGGTTTTTGGGAAGACCCTTAAACCCAACTGTTCTGATGCCAGATTAAAGAAAAATCAGGCAATTCTATAGTTACAGAGAATCCGAAAGTTCATCAATTCCTGTATGGCTGGAGTTGACTGGAAGCTCTCAGTGAGGTGAAAAAAGACCCCGGGAGTGTGGATGTGTATTATAAGGTGACAGCCTTTTCCCCCTTTCTCCCTTCACGTCCCGCCCTGGTCTAGGCAGGCACTCCATCTCCCAGGTGGCCAATCTGAAGGGATTTAGCAGATGCGATCACAGCCCCTAGGCTGAGTTAAACCACAGGGGAGCGTGTGGGTGGGCTGAGTCAGTCGGGTGGGTGGAATACGAATGCTCCTGTGCAGGGAGGACGCCAGGACGCTAAATGAAGATATGTCTGAGACCACAGTGCAACTGGGCATCATCTCCGGTCTTCTTCTTCTTTTTTTTTTTTTTTAGAGGTTTTTGCCTTAGAGTGCATGCGCCCTAAGAGCGAGACAGTGAGAGGGAAAGTGAGAAATCCCCATCTCCACCCCCCGCGGAGAATGACCACGCGGCAATCTCTCCTCCATTCTCCTCCCGGGATCTTGGGCACGCACGCACACGCGCCTGGCTTGATTTTCAAGGCACCAGGTCCAGGACTCAACTGCAGTCGGGCATGTGGAAGTCCAGAGCTGTAACTGCTGCACCATTGTCTCTGGTCTTTTCGCTGACAGCCAAGGTCTTGATCCCGGCCGGCCTCAGTGCAAGTAAAAACCTGCTCCCACAGAGAACAGCTTCCGCCCCGGGCCTTGTGCTCCTCTGTAACAAGGTGCTCCATTGCCTGGAAGTGTCATGGCCCACCCTGTCCGCCATCTGCTTCTCCTGCAGTGTGGAAAGGGATGCCATTCTTTCTCCTTCCAAACTCACATCTCCAACAGACACCTCGTTATCCCTAAGGTGCCAAATCATTTTGTTACTAAATCACTCAATGATTCCTTATCATCTGCAAGACAGTTGCGATTCCTGTCTATGGCTCCACAGAACTGGCTAGTGGGTCACACGGTCATGGTTTCCTTCATCTCATTTCTTTTTGTGGACAAGTTTCCACCCTGGAAACTTGATGTCACATATTCACTTGTTTTAGCCCCCTGGGGCTGTTACAACAAGATGCCACACACTGGGGAACTTTGACAGGGCAGAAACTTAAGTCTCGCCGTGGAGGCTGGGCAGTCCAAGGTGAGGGCTGGGCAGATGGGGCCACTCCCTGATCCATAGGCGGTCTGCTCTACCCTTCAGGCAGTGCCGGGGAAGCAGGTGGACATCTGTCATGGACTTTTCTATAAGCCCCATTCATTAGGGCTCTGCTTTCACGACCCCATCTTGTCTCGGTTACCTTTAGAAGCCTCACCTCCTAAAGGGGTAAGGTTAAGGTCAGGGTTTCCACATACGAAGTTGGTGACGGGGTGGGCGACACAGTAGGCTGGTAGTCGTGCTACCGTTTGACCCTCCATTATGTTCTTCGACGTCCAGATTCCCTTCAATACCAAAATGTCTATGTCAATCATCATGAGTATTACTTGGGCTTGGTATTGAAGTCATTTCTTTTTCTTTTTCTTTTCTTTTTTTTTTTTTTTTTTTTGAGAGGTTTTTGCTATAGAGTGCATGCATTCAATAGAAAGAGAGAGAGAGAGGCAGAGAGACAGAAAGCGAGAAATCACCCCCAGGGGGGATGGCCACGTCGCAATCCCTTCTCCTCCATGCTCCTCTCGGGATCCTGGGCACGCACGCACACGCGCCCGGTGTGTTTAAGCCACCAGGTCTGGGATTCAAACCACGGTCGACTACATGGGAGTCCAGCAACATAGCCACTACATCAACTGCTGGTCCTGAAGTAATTTCTTTTAAGGTTGATAATTTTCGGGCCAGCAGGTGATGTGGAGGTTAAGGTGCTCGATCCCACATGGCCAACTCCATAGTTCAAGCCCCAGACCTGCCAGGTACATATGCATGTGCCCAGAATCCTAAGAGGAGAATGGAGGAAGAGGACCATGGCATGGTCATCCCCGCTGGGGCTGATTTCTCACTTTCCTCTGTCCGTCTGGGTGAGCACGTGCCACCTATGACAAAAAGCTAAAAAAAAAAAAAAAGGTTTAAATAAGGTCGATAATGTTGAGTCAGCTTACAAGTATTTTTTCAGAACTTTGAACACACAAGCAGTCTAAACCATGGTGGAATCATGACCACTCGGCTTGAAAGCCACGGGCCTCTGTCCCCACAGAGGGGCCCACGCAGAGCTTGGATGGTACCTGGGAGGACTGCATCTCCCCGGGGTTTCCTCCTCCGCGCTGTGGCGTGTGGTCATCGGGGACCGACCTCGGCAGGCCCACCCCTCACTGCGCGGGAACCAGGGCAGAGCGCGGGAGGGCCCTGCCCCTCAGCACAGAGGCCGCGCCACCAGCATGCCCCACGCCTCTCCTGTGTGCTCCTCAGCAGCTGGCGGACAGCTGTGGCCCTGAAGGGCCTGTCCTCTGGGTAAGGCCACGTTTCAGAGAGGGGACCTGATGTCCTTGGAAGTCCATTTCTCTCCGGCTTTCTTCACGAGGGAAGGGCCGGCTCTCTGGACAGCGGAAATCGCGCTTTCTTCCCGTGACCACGCTGTCCTCTGGCCCCTCTCAAACCTACCTTAGCTCTTCACGACACCATTTACAGAAAATGGCCCACATTCTCTCAGCGTCCCTTTCTCATTTGATCCAAATTCCCCTCGTTGCATGACACTTAATGTCTCTTACATCAATTTCCCTTTTGCCACTCAGAAATCTGTAAATTCTCCATTTTAACTCAGAAAATAAAACACTTCCAAGTTCCCATCAGAAACACCTCTGGCTCACTGGTCACTCATAATCTCTGCTGGGCGAAGAACCTTCCCAGTACAAGAAGACCCAGTATTACGCCATACTTCTATGACCTTCTCGAATTCCAGTATCAGTGAAGGGATTTTACTAACCTAGATTATCTCCAGTTAATCCCGAGAGACCACGGTGGGTGGGTCTGACTCAATCACCTCCATGACATTTAAAGGTAGCCCGAGCAGCCCGGGCTCAGTACCTGGCAGGAGCAGGGAGGAGCGAGGAGCGAGCAAGTCCCCGCACCCGGCATCTCCGACTGTCCTGGACCCCGTCAGGGCAGAGGAAGCCAGCTCTCTGCAGACCTAGTGAGGCCCCACGGCTGCGGCGAAAGGAATCCCAGGCGGAAACTCGACAGTTAGAACGGAGGTAGGTTGCGGGAGCCGCTTCCTGGGCTTTCTGGGTGGCTGGATAATATTTTTGGCCTCCAAGAATTTTTACAGCTATTAAGACATGTGCCATGTACGTTTTTTCATTCTTTACAGAAAGTAAGTTATGAATCCTCATAGCAAACCTGATGGAAGGTGTTAAATTCCTCTTCTGGCAAAGGAAACTGAGGCACAGCCTGAATGGGGGTGCAGAGCTAGGGAGGACCAGCACTCTGCTTCCTGAGTCCATGAGCTGAGTAGCTGTTCCGTGCTGCCTACCAGGCAAGGTCTACCCCTCCAGCATTCCCGATGTCAGTGGGATGGCGTGTCTGCTTTAACTTGTTTTGATTACTGTGTTTTTCACATCCAGCAGTTTCATTTAGGTTCTTTATATCTATTACTTCTTAGCCTCCCGCTTGCTCCACAGGCTGGACCGTAGGCAATATATAACAACTCTTTCAAAGCCCCTCCCCACCATTTCCACCGTCTGTCTTCTCGGGGTCTACCGGTTTATTTCCTGTTGATGGCCAGTTGTGTCTGCTTTATCGCTCACCTGGCAGGAGGTCAGCCTGGTACACTTGACATTGTTGGTCTTGGATATATTATCTTGTGTTCCTTAAACTAAAGCCGGTCTTTGTTCTGCAATATGGTTAAGTTACTTGGAAATGGGGACTAGCAAATGTCATAATGGTTATTACAGGGACTCCCACATAGTCAACTGTGGTTCGAGTCCCAGACCCGGCAGCTAGAAACTCATGCCAGGGTGTGTGCATGTGTGCCCAAAATCCTGAGAGGAGAATGGAGGAGAAGGGATTATGGCATGGCTATTGCCCCCCGGGGGGGATTTCTCACTTTCTGTCTCTGTCTCTGTCTCAGGTGAGTGCACTTGCCCTGTAGCAAAAAATCTCTTTTAAAAAAGTTACTTGGAAATGGATTGATGCTTTTCATTGTTGTGAATCTTTGTAAGTGGGGACAGAAACAAGCTTCAGCCTATGGATAATGTGCCCAGTGACTGGGACAATTCCTTCTAGCATGCCCTTCAATGCCCCCTGGGTTAGGGTGTCCTTTCACTCTGGCTGTGGGGACCCAGCTTCTGGCTCCGAGTGGCCCCAGGCATTTCCCATCGTGGTCCTTTCTAGGGTGTCTTTCGCAGCCCGGTGATTCCTCCCACATGCAGACTGGTGCTCGGACAGGGCCTCCCTGTGGGTGTACAGAGCACTCTCCACACCAGACCCCAGCCTGCTTCCTCGCCCTGAGCTTGCCCCTGCAATACCCAGCAGCCTTCGCCTGCCTGCAGCCCGTTCTCAGCTCGGCTGTGCTCCCCGCTTGGCCCCTCCTTGCTCTGAGGCCTGGGAAGTCAATGCAGGCCTGAGTGGGGCAGGCACGGGGCCCACGCTTAGTTCCTGCCTCCAGGCCCCTGGGGTCCCGGGTCTGAAAACCACTGGTTCATGACGTCATCTGGTCTTTTTTTTTCCATGTCTGCGGGACAGAGGGCGCTGTTCTTGACTTCGAGATAAGCTCTTAGTAGAAACAGCTCTCCCGTTAGTTAGAATATACATGTGTGTCTAGGTCAGTTCTTAAGTGTTGCCAGATTTTCATTTCCAGTGCTGTGATTGGCTCCTTCTTTAACCTATTCACAGGTAAGTCATTGAAGGATTCCTATTATGTAAATATTCATTTTTAAATTTTTTATTAGATGGCAACACTTCTGAATACAATTACCAGAAAAACTCAGAAGGTAAAGAAGAGAAAAGCAAGCAAGCAGGAATCAGGAAAACCCTCAGGTACAATGTTCTCACCCATCCATGCTCGAGGACACCTTCTGTCCTGTCTTCATCACCTTCCTGAGTCACGTGCTCATTCCAGGCCGGAGGGTGTCGGGTGCTCCCGGGATGATGGCACCCGGCATCCAGGGGCTCTGTCCCAGCCCACCCCCCTGCAGTCCTGACGGGAGTGAAGGACTGCGGGGGGCAGGATGTGAACCCCACATCAGGACCACCTGTCTAGACAGCGAATGTGCCGCCGCGCCTGTCACTGTGGTCTGGACGTGACCTGGGCGTCAGGTCCCGGGCAGGTGTTGCAGTTTCCCAGGAACGGAATAGTCCGATCTGGGCCTGTCAGTGCAGGGGAGGGTCTCTGAGAAACTTCAGCTGTGCGCGAGAGTGTGTCCCCAACCTCACCCTCATGCCCTGTGCCTTCCAGGACAGGAAACAAAGGCCTGGAGTGACCAGGAGATCCGCTGCTTTTTGCAAGAATGGGAATTCCTTGAGTGCGGGGTGTACCTCAGCGCAAGGAGGAAGGCTCACGTGGTCGCGAAGGCAGTCGCCCGGCTCCTGGCACGGAAGGGCGTGAGGAAGAGCTGGCAGCAGTGCCTCGGGATGCTGACGAGTCTGCAGGATTTATACTGGGCTGTGCGCGAGGCCAACGAGAGGCCGAGGGAGGAGCCCCTGCCTTGTCCTTACGGGGACGCCCTGCACAGGATCCTTGGAGCCCGGTGGGAAGGCGGTGAGTGGCACCCGCTGGCCCAGACATCCCTGTGACTGAGCAGGGCAGTGACCAGGGCCACACCCAGGGCCGCGCCCTGCCACACTCCCCATCACACAGCGCAGAGCGAGCGCGCTGAGGGCCCCCCTCCTGCCTCCTTCTAGCTCTTCCCTGTAAGGACCCCAGGGCCTTCGCTCGCGGCTCAGGGATTTACTCGTGGGCCGTGGGCCGGGCTACACCACAGCAAGGTCCAGGTGGGTGGGCGAGCCACGCCTTCACCACGCCTTCACCACGCCTTTCTCTCTCCTAGGGCCTCCCGCAGATGCAGCTGGCCTCCCACCTCTCCCCGAGGGCCTGCCCGAGGCCGGGGCTGTCCCCAGTGCCTTAGAGGGGATGGGGTGGGCCCCCCAGCCCACAGACCAGCCCTGGGCCGTCCCCTTTGAGATGCCGTGGGGCCCCCAGCCCTGGGCCGTGCCTGTGGAGGAGATGCCGTGGGGCCCCCAGCCCTGGGCCGTGCCTGTGGAGGAGATGCCGTGGGGCCCCCAGCCCTGGGCTGTCCCGGTTGAGATGCCGTGGGGCCCCCAGCCCTGGGCCGTCCCCGTGGAGGTGCAGGAGACACCGGGTGCCCCCCAGCCCATGCTGTGCGCAGGGGGCCCTCAGGCAGCCGACTGGAATCCCTGGAGCATCGACTTCCCGTGGCTAAGGCCGTGCCTGCTTCCTGCCTTTCTCCCAGGAGTCCCCCACCCTCTGGATTGGTCAACCTCCGCCGACTGCGGTCCTGAATTGGGAGACAGTTAGAGCCTGGATCCCCGTTAGGCCTGAGGTCGTGGAATAGGGTAGTTCTGTACAAAGACCCCTTCCCTCCGCAGCCCGATGTGATGAGTCGGAAATGGGAATAAACGGCAGCGAGCTCACCCTTTCCTGTCTTGGTGTGACTTGGTGGACTGCTCCATTACAGGGGGGCCAAGGGGCAGGGGGTCCCAGCTCCCCGGGGACTTGATCTGTGCACTCCTCTGTCTGTCTTGTGTCCTTTGCCACTTTGTAGTCTGATGTAGAACTTCGGTTTAACGTTTCTGAGCCTCAGGTTCCTTATTAAAATTGAAGCTGGTGACCAGCAGTTGGCGTAACGGCTGTGTCACTGGACTCTAGTCGACCGTGGTTTGAGCCCCAGACCTGGTGGCTTAAACTCACGCCGGACACGTGTGTGTGGGTGTGTGTGTGGG